AAAAATTAATTAAATAATGATACTAATATAACAATTGATTTTTTTAACTATCAAATTAATTCTTAAATACAAAAAATACAAAATTGATATTTTAAATAAAAAATAAAAAATTTATTATCTTATTTAAAAATTAATAAATTTTGTATTCTTAAATAAAAAAAATTGATAAAATTCATATTTTTTCACATTTTCTTCATTTTTTAATGATAGGAGATCATTTTTTCCTTTTTCAATTAATATAAGTTTTAAGGGTTCGAGTGTGACGCAAGGCATTGGTGCAGAAGTCACATGAAGGCAAATTTTAGTATTTGTTAAATTTTCTGCCTTGAATAAGTTCCAGTTTTCAAGCGGTGGGCTGACTGATGGCGTGAGAATTCGCATCGGTCAATTGTGAGCTAATTAAATTCCAAAAAAAGGGTCAATTTTTAAAAACAAGTCGTGTTTAAATTTTTTTTTAATGATTAAAGTCTAAGTATATGTTTAGAAACTCATTCTTTAGGGCTGAAATTTCGTAGAAATTTTTTAAAACATGTGTTTTTCAACACCACAGTCCAATAAGACTGTTCAGTTTCTGAACAGAAACTAGACTCGGAATATTTCAAGCTATAATCATGGAAGTTTTCCTAAACGATAATATTGGTAATTAACACTATAAGATATTTGCCACTGCCAATTACCCGTAGAGGATGCTCCAATTTTCAATTATTTTTGCTTTCATTCATTATGGCTCCATACCAAAGTTATTATTTTACCAATTTTTAGGCGTTGAATTTTCTAGAAAAATCATATGTGAATTCAATTCTTTTACCAAAAAATAAAATCTATCAATTATGTTCATACTTTCATACTTTTCTCTCCTACATGCATCTATATAAACCCAAACAATGCAGATTACTGAACACAGAGACTTTGTTTTCTGAAGAAGGTGAACAACTTCAATAAAGGTATATTATTTTCTTCTCAATCCTTTTTCCTTTCCCATTACAATGATATTGTTTCAATATATTACATGAAATTATTGTGTTTTTTTGTCAATTAGGATTGTTTTGTCAAACAAAAGCCCCTTAGAATTTAGATTTTGTCAAAAAATCAGACACATCATTAAGTTTTGAGCTTGTGTTCTTGTCTAGGTTACCCGTGATACTTTCCCTTGAACAAAGTTAACCAAATGCCTTGTCCTAAAACACCCAACAATTCCCTGCTCTGGTGAGCCGTGAAACCGTATAGGAAAGCAAAGGACGACCTTTGGCATTTCCTCCACTCATAATTTAAGGAAACAATAATTAATTAAAATAGTCATAAAATAAGGGTAGCACTAATACATGGAAGAATGAACATTTTCCTTTATAATATATGATGAGCTGTATATAAGCCCCCATTGGCTCCATATTTTCATTGCACGTTTTGGAAAAACCCATTAAGGACCCATTTGTAACGAAGTAAAATAAGATTCAGACAGAATCAAATCCCCCATTGGATTTTTCGAATTATCCTTTTATGGTTAGTTCTTCAGGCTGAGATCTGTTCTTGAGTATTTTGTTTTATATATTTCATGGAACTGATCGAATTTGCTTGCCTTCTGCGTTTGGTACATGGTTTGAGAGATTTTTGTCTGATTCTGAAATGCTCATCGTCCTTTGTGCAATTGCAGGTTTTGGTAACCAAGGGAAAATGGCGGCGATAGCGAAAAGAGGCTACCGGAGTTCGCATGTTTTGTTGGTGACAATGGCGGTGGAGCTGCTGATTATGGTCTCCGTTTGCTCTGCAACTACCCCATCCAGGTTCTGCCTTTACCTTTCTTCCTCTTTCTCCTTCGTTAATGCTTTTTGTAAAGAGAGAAACAGAAGGAGAGAGTTCAATGCGTTGCTTTTAAGAGAGTTTATGCGCCGTATGCTGCGGTGCTTTATGGTGGCGGCAACATTCTAGGATTTAGGAGGAGAGGAATGGGGATACTCATATTCTATAAAAAAAAATTTTTTGCTTTTGCTCGAGACATTGGGCTCGTTCGAACTAACTTTTTTCTAGTGGATTTTGGATGGATAATTTTTATCTTTTATTGGTCCTTTGCGTTCCCCAATGAGTTAACGACACCCCAATAAAGGGATTTACAGATAGAAACGGTTAATACTAAAAAATAAATGAAACCGAGTTTATTATTAATGAATAATGATGGAGAAAGGTTGGTTACAAGATAATTAGCCTTTTTATTTATTAAAGCTTTGATGTTGGAAACGTCTAGGCAATTGGTCAGACTGCAATGCCAAGATTAACAAAGAATCTTTGAAAACTGTGACCCTTCCATAAGAACAAGAGTTGGTTTCCCAATGCTTTCTGGTTCTTTTTTTCCTTCTTCCTCTGTAATGTGAACATGTGACCTCTGAAACCAATTGTATGATTGGTAAGTGTAATTCGCTATCCTTACCTTACCAAACCAATATTTGGTTATGTAAGTGTAAACGGATGATGAAGACAGGTGCTATAGCAAAAGCAAATGTATGAGTAATTAATGCATATATATACTGTGATCTGTATTTAATATTATGGATCAATGTGCATACCCATTGATCAAATAATTCATCTAGATTCGGTCTCTTTTATATGTTATTTAACATGCATTTTTTTTATCTTGATTGTTTTTTATAATTGAATAATGATTGATACATTATCTGTTTTAACATATTTATCGATACTCACTAGTTTAGTTATTAAATTTTGTAAATAATTTTTTTTTATTTTAAATTTAAATTTAAAAATAATAATTTTTTAATAAATATATTATAAAATGTATTGAATAAAATGGTGTATCAATAATTATCTTTTTTAATTAATGGTATATAACAATGGTATTATATATAGCCTTGCTAATTGATCACTTTTTGTCTTTAATTTGCAGAAAAATCTTGGCAGATGCTAATGTTGCACCTCGACCTGTTCAACTGAGAAAAGAACGTGAGCAAGTAAGTTATATTTCATCTGTTTTATAATAACAGTTTTGTTTTGAGTCTTTTGACCATACACGAAATCAAAGACTCTAATGTTATTGTAATCTTTTTAGGTAGTGGTTGATAATGGACTTGTTCGAGTCACTTTGTCAACCCCTGGCGGCTTTATCACCGGAATTCAATACAACGGAATTAATAATGTGCTTGCAACCGTAGACCGTGAGGATCGAGGGTATGTATTTAGATTTACTCCCAAATTAATTTTGAAAAATTTTGAATACCATTATTTTTAACAAAACATATATTCTCAGGTACTGGGATGTCGTCTGGAAAGGAGAAACCTATGACCAGTAAGATTTCTTCTTTACATAAACTCAGTTTTAAAATTAAAATTGACTGTACATAATCGTTTAAATGATTAATTCTCTGCTGCTTTCCTCCGTCACTTGCAGACTCGCAACCACAAATTTTAACATTGTTACTCAAAACGACAACCAAGTAGAGCTTTCGTTCTCCAGAACATGGAGTTCCTCCAAACAGGGCAAGGCCGTTCCCTTAATCGTAGACAAAAGGTGCAATATTTGAAAGAAAAAAATGGCACATAATTTTAGCTAATAATAAAATCTTATGATACGTGATTAAGTATTATTATTATTATTTTTTTTTTAGGATTATTGTGCGACGAGGGGTTCCTGGAATCTATATGTACGCCATAATGGAGCGTCTGGCGGAGTTCCCTACGGTCGAAATGTCTCAAATAAGGATAGTTCTTCGGCCCCGACAAGACATGTAAATACACAAAACAAAAACTGGAATGTTTAATTTACCTGTATTGGCATTTTTTTTTTTTTAAATATCAATGTTAAACATTTGAACGTTTCGAAATATATAAATGGTCAGGTTTCGGTACATGGCGATATCGGACAACCGGCAGAGGATTATGCCGACTGAGGCAGATCGAGATGAAGACCGCAGTGAGCCTCTTGCTTACAAAGAAGCAGTTCTATTGACCAATCCCTCCGATCCTGACCTTAGAGGACAGGTATTTATTTTTCTTTTTATTATAATATTTTACAATTTGAACTATATTATTTACAATGAATTATAAAATATCAACATTTAAATAAAAGGTTTTTATCTTTTTTAATATTATATGCTTATTTCGATTTAAACATTAGTATTTTATAATTTAAATTATAAATTTTTTTTTTAATTTTAGTTGTACAATGAGAAACAATTATCTCTCATCTCTTATTACACCCTATTCACATGTCATGGAACTCGAATTTAAGATCTCTTACTTTCAACGAAAAAAAATAATAACTGAATTACTTAGATCGTTAATATTTTTTATTTTTTATTTTTATATTCAAAGTTTGTTGCACAATCAAACATATTACTTACTCATTATACATAAAGACATAATTAAAATATAAAGTACACGAAACTAGTTGTGATATTAATGGGTGATAATGTGTGGTGCAGGTGGATGACAAGTATCAGTACTCAATCGAGGACAAGGATAACAGGGTTCAGGGCTGGATGTCCAATAAGCCACTGGTGGGATTATGGATGATCACGCCCAGTGATGAGTTTCGTGTTGGTGGGCCAATGAAGCAGGACCTTACCTCTCACGCCGGCCCAACCCTGCTCAATGTGAGCCTACTATCCAACCCACCCTCAAACTAGTCCACATTACATATTTCTTTATTTTTATTATTAACTTGGGCTGGGTCATTGATTATGGACAGATGTTTGCTAGTACTCATTTTGCCGGGAACGATATGGACACAGAATACAAACAAGGAGAGCCCTGGAAAAAGGTTTTCGGCCCAGTCTTGGTCTACCTTAATTCGGGTTCTCCACGGGATAACTACAAGACACTCTGGGAAGATGCTAAAAGACAGGTAATTTTTTTTATAAAAAAATTTGTTTAATCCCTCAAATATTTCATTAAGATGGCCATTCTAACAATTTTAAGTGATTCAATCAGATGTGGGAAGAAGTTAAAAATTGGCCTTACAATTTTGTTGCATCAAAAGATTTTCCTGTTGCTGATCAACGAGGACAAGTTTCAGGCCAATTAGTAGTTGTTGACCGGTACTTCTTTTCTCCCTAATGTTAGGGTGCTGGTTATAAAGAGTGGAACACATGAATTACTATACATTTTCTTATGTAATACACATTATATTATAAAATCTTATAATTAAACCTGATTTTAGCCTCAACTCTTGTGGTCAAGGGTGTCTTACCTTTTATTTCTCGGTTTTTAGGTATGTTTCCAATAAACCAGTTTTTGCCAATTCTGCCCACGTGGGGTTGGCAGCACCTGGAGGTGTTGGTTCATGGCAAACAGAAACCAAGGCAAGTATAGTCCATTGTTAACAAAACATTGAGTTCTAGAATTATTAGAGTTTGAAATTAATTTATCAGTGAATTTTGTGTTCCTTCTTCCATTTTCTCCAGGGTTATCAGTTCTGGACAGAAGCTGACAGGCAAGGTGGGTTCGTAATAAACAATGTCCGACCTGGGAATTACAATCTGTTTGCTTGGGTTCCTGGTGTTGTCGGAGAATACAAATTAGATGTTAATGTTACAATCACACCAGGTATTGCTAATCCTTCCCGAATCACATCCCATGGCTTACATTTTCGCTCTTAAGAACCAACTTTGAAATTTCAGCTTAATTAAACTTGGTGATTGCAGGAGGCAATATCAATTTGGGTTTACTTACCTACAATGCTCCTAGAAATGGTCCGACATTGTGGGAAATCGGAATCCCGGACCGCACAGCTGCAGAGTTCTTCATCCCAGACCCATACCCGACACTTCTTAACCCATTGTACATTGATCAGGAGAGGTGAGTTTTTTGCATACTTAACCGTTACCCCTTCTACACAATTTGAACACAAATTTCATTTGCTAAGGGGAAATTTTTTATGGACAGATTTAGGCAATACGGATTATGGGATCGGTATGCTGAGAAGTACCCTCAGAATGATCTTGTATTCACCGTTGGTGTTAGTAATTACACCCGGGATTGGTTCTATGCTCATGTTACTAGGTACTTGTCTTGTTTCAGTTGAAGAGTTTGGACCATTGTTATATGCTTTCTAAGTGTTCGATCTAATAATGTCTCAATCACATTACAGGAACATTGGAGAAGGTACTTATCGACCAACCACATGGAAAGTTGTATTCCAGCTCAATAACGTGCCTCCTACCGGAAGTTACACGCTCCAATTGGCCTTAGCATCGGCCAGTATTGCTAAAGTGCAGGCATACGTCTTACCCTTGACATTTATCCATCTCTCTAATGACCTGATAAGATTCAAATTCATCCCCTTTCCCATAATTCAATGTTTTGCTGATGAACTTCTGATGATGAATTTGCAGGTTCGGTTCAACGATGCCAAATGGCCTGATTTTTCAACAGGAAGAATAGGGTCAGACAATGCAATTGCGAGACATGGAATCCATGGATTGTATAGATTTTACACCTTTCAAGTGCCTAGCCATAAACTCAAGGAGGGTGACAACACAATCTCTCTTACTCAGTCACTGAGCATATCACCATTCCAAGGAGTTATGTATGACTACATTCGTTTGGAAGGACCTGGACAGTGATCATGTACAGATTAATTGTTCATATTCTTCACAGTATAGTCCTATAAGTATATACAAATTCATACAGGGTGAAAAAGAAAGAGGAAACATTAAATTAGAGCAAATTCATACTGGGTAAATTTGTAGATCCATGAGGTTTAGTGACATCAATTCGGTAAATGCCTTGTCACTGACCCAAGATTTCATTTGGCTTATTCTTTGTTTTCATAGAATTGGATAATTTTGTTTATTGTTTGCATCAAGGAAGGTTTGAGGCCTGGATATACCTGTAACTAAATAAGCATGAGTCATTAAGAAAGTTCTCTGAAGTTATAATGTATTTGCAGCTGGTTAAATTATTATTAATAAGATCAGAATTTTTTTTTTATTATTATTATTTTAAGACAAAATTCTTTTATTAATTTAACTTATCTATCTATCTTGTGATTCTAAATCTATATGATTGATGTCTTAAATTTTAAATTTATGTCATAACAACTTACATGATACATGAATGGATATGACAAGTTTGTTGAATTGCACATACCCCATAATATCTGAAAAAGCTTGACATATGAAAGGGGCTTGTGATCAGTACTGCTCGAAAAATTCAACCTTTCTCACCACTTTGAATTCTACAGACAAGTAATTTTGCCCCACTTGCTTTGTCTTATGATCAAAGGGAATATTCTTTTCATAGAATGGAATATGCATGTTTTGGAGAAATGGAGGTCGGGAAGGCTGGTTGAATTGGCCTTCAAGACTAGGGAATTCGAAGGAGATAACCCAGATTTGGAGAAATGGAGGTTGGATTTGGAGAAATGGAAGTCCGGGAAGGCAGATTGAAATGGTTTCACCAAATTGGGACGAGTCTGTAGAGCTTGGAGGGATTGAAATGGTGGTCGGATTTGGAGAAATGGAGGTTGGGGAAGGCCGATTGAATTGCCTTCAAGACTAGGGATTTCAAAGGAGATAACCCAGACAAGCCAGGGATGAGTATTTTACGCTATACAAACGTATTTAACTCATATTATATTTTTTGAACCGAATGGTGTAACCGTGGATGTCGGTTGGCGGGGTAAATACATCATTATCGTATATCTTGCCATATTAACTTACAGCCTGGAGGGAATCTTCCTCTTAGAAGTTGTTATTTATTTATTTTTTTTATACATCTAACTATAAACTATGTAATAGGTGATAGCTCTATCCCTTCTCAAACACTTCCTCACATGTTCCAAGTTCTTGATATAGTTGAAATAGAACTTGAGAGCTAGCAGAAGTATGCAGACTCTACAGGAGGATATATATACCAGCTTGACTTATAAAATTCTGATCAGTTGCACTTCCAATCAAGACAAGCACTACGGACTAATTAATTTGGAACAAATTGGTTCCACCCAATGTCGCTGCATTGGCGTGGAGAGCTGTATAAGACAAGATGACATGTATTAAAAATATATATGTGATTATTAAAATTTTAAATTTTTATTTTAATTTAATTATTAAAAATAATTAATAATTAATAAAATA